TTGCTTTCTCTCTGCGGCGACGCCATTAGCGACAAACTGACATCCTCGTACATGCGTTATCAGATACCTAGGCGGCGCAAGCTATCAATTCAATACATTTCTCATGGGGATGCATATCAGCTACCAACCGCGTCTGCACCATGTTGGCAGCGAAAAGAGGTGGCCGACGTGTCATGTCGGCCACTACAACCAGACACAGACACAAGACACGAGACGCACGACTTGGCATTATGGGTAGTGTTGGCCAACCGCTCAACACCACGAGACTTCGCGAGTTGCTAGTTGGAGTAACGCGACCACCCCGCACACGAAGTCCAAGAATCGAAGGAGCGAACAACAAAGTAAGCGGCCTAACACATGGGCAAGGCCGTCTGCGCCAACAGCCCCCTGGGACTCATCCCCTCATACTTGGTACATATACGGGCGAGTTGCTGATACCCAGAAGCCCCACCCTCATTCAACCGTTTGTCAACTCGGTCTCCTGTTGGGGGTGACTACGTACTGCCATTAACGAGTCGCATCAAGGTCGAACACAAATCCTGGCTGGTGACCTCAATTGCAGACCGACCCACATCGATGCATTGTCATGATGCCAGAGGAGGTGACATGTCGGGTCAAACTTGAGAACACCGGGATAACAGCGGCTGCACCCTTCAACACCAAACGCGCGGCTGCATGGTAAGCCGTTAGTCCGGCTCAATGATTGTCAGCTTGCCACCTTGAGGTTGCCTTCACTTCCCTTTTCACGACGCACTGGCTGCCACTTGCTGCCACACCGACATTCTCTCAGTCCAGGTTGCACTACATCAACACCATGCACCATGTCGGACTCAGGGGTTGGCCATTGGAGGGGACGTGTGTCCGACACATTGATTCAGCCTGCACAAAAAATGTCCTGGTATCATTGGCCCGACCCAAGGCCCGTCCCGCTCACCAACCACAGAGGCGGCACATCACGTGACAGATTTTTCATGCGGACCATGCATGCAACCCGGGTAGCCTGCATCTTTCCGCCGCTCGGCCCCAATTTTCGAGCAGGATACTGGAGTGGCGACTAGGCGACGTGACGACTTATGCCTGTTAAAGCAAGACATTTGGCCTCATCGACCGACCACCGCCACATTTGCCTCCCTTCCGCCTCCGCGATAAAGTGCGTGGATACCGAGCGGCCGATTGACACCGAATGCCATGGCCGGCTCAAGACTACTCCCCGCAGCATTCACGATTACATGCCTAGTCCCGGACGCCCTCAACACTACCACTAGGGTCATTTACGAAGGGGGGTGGTGTAAAGCTCATCTCACGTAGCCAAGTGGTTGTGCCAGGTGTGAGATTACCAGTGTGACCTGGCAAGGTCAACCACATTTTAATATCCCGCAGGCTTTTGGCGTGGAAAAGGTTTGATTGATTCACGACCACTTTGGATCCTCCCTTAAGGCACAACACCCTTAGGAGTCAAAACCATCCTGAGCACTGAAGAATGTGTTTCTGTGACTGTCTGGAGTGGCATAAAGCTGACATACAATAATGGTGTGTAAAACATCACTTGAAAGTCCCGTCTCTCCCACGCAAGCGAGTCAGACGAGACACTTTGCTCTCAAAAAACATACAACTCACAAAGGGGACAAACTGAGGTGAAAACGAAACCACAAATGAGTCTTGGAATATCGCCGCCTTCTGCATGTTCCACGACTGCGATAATGCGAACCAATGTGCGGTATGGGCTTCTGGCCCATCAGCGGTTGTTTCAAACTCATTATTTTACATGCCGTGCCACAGGACAACAAGCTTCAAGGCAGTGGTCGATTTCGTCACGATAAGTCGTCAGATGAGATGTGGTGTACTTATAATGGCAATGGGACATGTCCATGTGCACTTCTTTTGCAAATTTCCATTCCATCCGCTCAAGAGACCTTTCTTTCAACTGAAACCAGGGCAGCGGAAGGTTCCAATTGTTAGTGTGAAGCAGCTGGGCAGGGCATTCCATTGCGCAAGATCAGTGAATGAATAAGCCAGGAAACAACAAATGGTGCGGCGACTATGTATGAGACACCACCTTCCCACAGCCAACAGCGTCGCGACCAAACGCACCACATTACTCCGTGCCAAGCTCGGGAAGCAGCGGTGAGCGGGCAGCTGCAGGTGGACGTTTCGGGAACCATCCAAGGAGTCGCCTGCGGGGTTCACTGAGCGAGGGATCGTTGGCTGAGATTTGCGCCCAGGCGATTGAGTCACGTCTAGGGCGAAGCCACAGTTATCATACGGCAAATGCGTCGTCTCCGGCACTGTATATGGCCGTCAAGGAATTGTGCGGCGAATACAAGTTGGCTTGGTTCACGGCCAATCGCCAAGGATCCATCCACCACCCAAAGGTCTGCAGCATAATTGATATGGGAAGGTCAAATATTATGCTGGTGCCATATTTTGTTCAATCGGCCTCGGAACCATGAACGGGTGGACCGGGGGCAGACCAGAACGCACTACTATTGTTAACATGCAATGTCCAGATGTCCTCCCTGCACGCCCCCCATCCAAGACAGCGACGACAGGCAACGGACTGACTGCATGAAAACGAAACTTTAGCTGGGGCACGGAACGGTGCGCGCCTGCAGCTGCATGATCACCCGTGATCCGCTGATGCTGCTAGTGTCCATGGACAGAGCTGACAGATGCGTGCCGTCGCTGTATACGTATCGAAACCTGCCACGTTTCGTTGCAGGCACCTTCCCCCCTGCCAGCCTTGCACAGGACGATGACGGGGGTTGCACATCCCGTTGTTGTCACATTTCACTTGACGGCGGTAGGAGATGCTGAAGTACCTGTGGTGCTCGGCAGCATGGTACTTTAGTATTGATGCAAAGAGTGTACAAACCTTGCCGTGTCCGGGGCGTGGCATTGAAGCGTGTGCAGAAAATCCCTCGACCGACGATGGGGAGACAACCCTGGCAAGACATGCACCAAAAAACAACACAGCCAACAGAAGTCATGTGAACCAGCCACGTCCGCAAAGCATGAAGAGCAGTACACTCTCCTGTCATGCAAGAGACATGTAAGGTTCTGCAAGGAGGCATGGCCCGGCTTACCGCAGTTTTCGTTGCACAGGACCTCCTGGAGCAATTTGTGTTCACCAACATCCCTGATTATATGTATTCTGCCTGGTCACATCGGTTGTTGCTACCCAACACTTGGCAGTAGGACTTTCTGTGCTTGGATGGTTGCTCCGAGCCCAAGGATAATCAGCCATGATGCCTTGTGGCATTGCAAGACCCATCAATAACGGCCTGATTTCAACCGACCAAGCAAATGGCGACAACAAGTGAGGCATCGTCTGCAACAGTGGCAGTGGGTAGCGCTAAGAATTACTGTCAACACGCTTCAAATAGGGAAATGCCATTTGTGCTGGATATCCGCTGAGGAGTTAGCTAGCAGTTCCAAACATGAACGTGGCGGTACGAAACACGCAGGTGGCTTGAGGACAGTGCCTCACAGGTATCATGTTCTTCTTCCAAGTATCAGTTATTTGCGACGGTGAGATTCGAAGACGTGAGGGTTTCCATTGCTGGCCGTTGGCTGCTAATAACAGTGTCACCTACTGTCTTCTCGCGCAACATCATGCCGGCACAACACGCAGTCCTTGGCTCAATTACTTTGAAGATTTTTGGCCAGGGATCAGTCACGAGTAGTCAAAAAGGTTTGAGGCTCTTGAAGACATATGCTAGAGCCGGGAGGGCCAACGAAATTTGACTTGCACACACATATCCGGATTGGAACAGGCCCCTCGAGCTTACTGTCCGACTCATATTATGAAATTTCTTGACCGTCTCTTCAAGAGACAATGCATTCAGCGGGTCTGGAGTCGGTTCTGGCCATCCACAGTGGCCAAATATTTGATTAAACTACACCAAATCGCCCCTCAGTGTTTGTAGGCAATATCGAATCTCTCCCATTTTCGGTCATGGCATGATAGGCTGACATGAAGCAAACCATAGCTGGATATCTGACGGCCGTCAATGTAGCGCAAAGTTCTGCTGGGTTTCACATTCGACTACCAAGTCCATCCAGCGTTAGACGGGACTATTTCCATTGAGTCCTCCTTGCCTAATGGTACCACAAATGTGGCTGGTCTGCAAATTTGTGAGCTTAGTAGGCGCTTCGGGCATCGGAAATACAGGCAGAGGCAGACTATTGTGACGACTAATCATGACTGCAGCAATATCCAACTCCAAGTCTTGAGCTGTAACAGCATTAGCCGTTGTCGTTCTTGTAGTGTAGAGATTGCTGTCGCACATGCACGACCTTGTGGGCGTAACTCGCCCTGCTGGCAAACTGCTGGAAGTCCGGATGAGAAGGCATGTTCGACTCGATCGAGGGGATTTGAAGAGTGACTATTGAAACAGGCACTGCTAATGCCGATTGTTGACAGTGACAGGGAAGCTTGCGTGGCGCAAAAGTCTGTGGAGGTTGGAAAGTATGACGACCGAGTGTTGGGCCAAGGAGTACTGTTGAAGCAGGCTCCAGCATCTGGCCAGCGTGCTTGTTGAGGACAAAAAAATCCATTATACACGCAACAGGTTCAATTCTGAGACGTGCCCTGCTCTCCACTTCCAGCATCAGTATCAGCATCCAGTCCAGTCCAGAGCTAGCCGTGACTTCTGTAATCATCTCTGCTCCAGTCGATGCTGAGTTGCAGCTAGAATCGTCCACAGCGGGGTCGTTAGTCTGGCCTGCCTCCCATTCGGCAACTTATGACCTTGGGACATTTTGGTTTCCACACGGCGAGACACCAAGGAGGAGAAAAACGTCCCGAGAAGTGTCCGACGGGGAAGATATAAATTCAAACTCAGTACCTTCCACAGACGTACTTGTCAGTCCCAAGCTCCATCGTTTATGGATCATCCTCGAGCGATTCATTCAGTAGATTTTCAAAAAATTTGCTTGTAAAACCTCGCGGACTCAAAGTGTGGTTCTTCGCGCGTGCTCGGGCAGAAACATTTACCACCATGTCAGATACTACCACCTGCATCAACCAGGCTTATTTCAAGTACGTCGCTCTGCATCTCCTTAATTTATCTAGAATAAACGCAATCGTCGGCATGGACTCGGCGGGACAGCCTTCAACCTCCAAGACATTCAGTGTCTCGCCATAACGATGTCCATGCCAGACTTGCATTGAACGCTCTGTAGTCCAAAACTTTCTAACGGGCACTCTATTTATAAAAAGTAAGCTGGCTCCAGGCTATGACGAAGAATTTCAAAAGACCCTTGGCCAGCTATACGAGGAGCTGCAAAAGCGATCTAGCTTTCTGGGAGTAAAACCCGGTGGTCGACTCCTCGACTATGCCTGCGGCACAGGGCTTGTGAGCAGGGTAAAAGCACACGCATCCTTGACGCCTTTATTCAACCAAGCTTGCCACGGCTAACGGGACGGTACAAAGGCTCTAGGGGCTCACATGAGCCAGTGCGTGGGCATTGACATTTCCGAGTCCATGGTTGAGCGGTACAACGCCAACGCCAAGGCCGACGTAAGCAGACATACAAGCAGCGCCCTGGGAATTCAGACTTGGTCAACGCAATTACTTGGTAGATTCGGACGTCTAACTCATTGCCAGGGCCTAACGCAGGACAAGCGCGCCGCATACCTCGGCGACCTCTTGTCTCCGGACGATCCGTCGCCAGCGGCTTTCGCAACCCCCGACTTCTTCAACTTTGACCTTGCGGGCGTCGGCTTGGGTTTCCACCACGTCGACGACTGTGTGCTGGCGGCGAAGAGATTGTCAGAGCGCCTGAGGCCAGGGGGGAGCCTCTTCATCGTCGACTTTGTAAGCCATGCGCCGGTCGACCACGGCGCCACGTCCATGGGTATCCGTCACCACGGGTTTTCAGAGGACCAGATCAGGGCGATGTTTGATGAAGCCGGCGTGGGCAGTAACTTCAAGTTTGAGACCATGGAGGAGGACGTTTCCTTTGACCATGCGCATGGAAGTGGTAACCACACGGTCAGACGGGTCTTTTTCGCACGAGGGGACAAGACGGCCTCGACCAGTGCGCAGATCTGATCCTGTGGCTGATGGCGAAGCCTGTCCTGTCAACAAGACGGTCCAGGCTACCTATTAATAGTCATCGCATGATGAGGGTATACGAGATGCCATCTTATCCTAAAAAATATAGCATGTCCTCCTTGTACCTGAGTACAAAGATGCAGCACTGCAAGCCAGCCCCCAAAACTATTTCATCTCTGAATGGTGTCCCAAACCATACTGGCGGCCCTTTTCAAAGTCGAAAACATGATGGTTCCCCACGCCACCCTCCAGCCAAACACCATTCATGTTCTCGCAACCAAGTGTCGACCTAAGCCATCCATTGACGGAAAGCAGAATATCAAAAACATAGAAAAACAGATAATAATACTGCAGTCCCGCATGATTACTCGAATTCTATCCCAGACGGGCGGACGTCAATCATAAACCGTCAACAGGGGGGGTTCTAACGGGGGAGAGGCTGATTGGCTCATCAACGCAATATCGGCAGGTCGGGGAACCAAACTACGCTTGACGGAATACCATTGGCCATAGTGAAGAAGGAACCGTTCGTCAGCTCTGGGGCCAGGCGACGCGGGGAATTTCTAAAGATACAGCGCACGGGTTTTGAACGCGACAACCAGGACTCAGGGACGGCACATGTACTCTGGAGCTTTGTACGGAGGTATGACGGCCGTGAATAAGTACATGCGCAGGTTGTGAGAAATTGTTGCGTCTGGTGGAACAGCCGAGCACTTACGTTCTGGCGATTGGCTGCAGTGGACGTTGACGCTTTGATATCGTGGGATTCTAGGCTTGGGCGCTGGCCCGGAGGATTCTTCATGGATGGACTACGGCTCGATTAGGAAGGCGGTTATGGGACATGGCCGCGGCCAGCATGGCAGGTGAAATTGGATATAGGTGACGGGCTGATGGGACTACGGCTCGTATCAGACGTGGACGAAAGGACATGGCCGAGGCGGTCGGCTCTCAAGGTGAAGCGAATTCATTCAGAAAGTCGGCGCAAGTCCAGTCTCGCGCCGTCAAGCATACTGAGCGACGGCCCATCGCCCATGATCTGAGGATAACAAACGCCGTGGCGAGAATCCATCCCTGAGCACAGAGCCGTCGGCGTTCTCTTAGGTATCCAAGGGCAGAATCGACGCACATTATGGCATCATGGCACCAATTGATGTCTTCAGTGGACCCCTCCTATCTGCGCTCCCGTGCTCTTGGGCGGTTCGACTCGCCCGTATATCTCGGCACCTTGGGCCCCGTCTGGACCCCGATTGCGGCCTCTGCAACGACGCCCAGGCCCTCCGCTGTGCTTCGCGTGTAGGGAGAGTGATGGGCATGCGGCATGGTAACGCGTTTGGCAAAATGCAAAGAGGTGGAGTTTGAATAACGCATGCGTATACAGTGAAGCGGCGTGCGCCGCGAATCGATGAGAAAGAAACAAGACAAGAGCGGTTCAAAATGTCAACTTTCTTTCATGTTGCTAGTTTGACATTCTAGAGGCATGCCGTGCTATAAAGGTAGTCTGTATATTCAAATTGGATTTGATACCGGCGCCTCAAGTCTATATTACTTCTCGTCAAGATCGACCATGAACGAACCGCCGAGCAGGATGGCCGGCTCGTCTAAGTTATGATGCTCGTAGCTAACAAACCATTAGTACGAAACGCCAAAGGATTGTGTTTAAGCAGCTTTTTTATTTTTCAAGATTCACGCACCTCAAGGTGCCGACGCCGCCGGCCTCGAACAAAAACGCCGGCCCGTCCTGCAGCGACTTGCCAGCCCATCTCATGGCCAGGGCACGCAGGATATGCCCATGCGCTACAATCAACACGTCTCCATGGACATCCTTATCCTTGGGCTGTCCAATGGCGGGCTTGTGCCATTTTTCGCGGATCTCGCTAATCAGGCGGTCTAGACGCTCGGTCACCTGTTCCGGGCTCCTTGTACGCAAAAGAAGTCAGCGAACGCAAAGTACCAAAAAATACAAGGGACGCGGAGGAATGCTGCAGTGACATACTCGCCGCCGGGACACCCGTCCCTCCAGATATCCCAGGTCCCCTGTATGCCCTGCTCGGCGCGAATCTTGCGGACCTCGGGAGACGTGATGCCCTCGTAGTCGCCGTAGTCCCACTCCCTCACGTCCTCGGTCACTTGAATCTTCGCGTCGCACTCCAGGCCCTTATCGGCGCTTTCGCCATGTGCCTTCCACGGCAAGTCACCTGATATTCCCAGATTTATCAACTCAAACGTCCGCTGGGCACGCTTCCGCGGCGAGACGTAGCTAAGATTACCAGTCAGCATGTGCTAGGAGACTTCTTGGCCCCATTGGCGAAAGAAGGGGGGGGGGGGGGGGGGGGATATGTTAATTACGACAGCAT